TACAGAAAGAAAACATTCTCTTTTCCTATATCCCTCCCAGCCTCCCTTACCAACAGCCGCATTGGATCCTTGTTTTAAGTCCATGATAGGGATGTCAACGAGGCCCCGCGGGGTCAGAGAGTCCCTCCCCGTCCCCTCCCCGTCCCCATCCCGTCCCCGCGAATCACGGGGACAGGGATCCCCACGGGGATTTTTTGCGGGGGATAAATTTTGCCTCCGTCCCCGTTCCCCGCCAATTAATCTCATCAATAACACCACCCGACTCATCTACCAAACAAGAGATCACATTTCAAATAGAAGCATTCATTCATTTTTCGACCAATCAATTCATTTACCAGACACAAACAAAGATATCCAAGACATAGGGATATAGCATTCCGATCTAATGAAGGACTACAATGAACTAAGATTTTATGAAGAATAAAGGAAATAACGACAAAGAAGTGCCCAAATCTCCTAGTATCTATGCTTTGCCAAAGTTACTTAAATTCCAATTTGTTACACAGTTTGGTTGCTAAGAAAGCTAAAGAAAACGGAAAGAAATTTGGATTCAAGTTTAGAAAATCTTGAAAAGTTCAAACATTTTACTAGAAGAATCGGAGAAATGTAACATTGATGGCACTAAGAGAGTTGATTACTCCAACATAATCAAAAGGAGAATCAATAAAACAGAAAGGCTTGCTTTCTTTTCTTTTCCGCAGGTTTCTCTCCAACCAAACAGAGCATTAAACAAACACATTAATAAAAAATCAAAAACCTTTAAGATTAAATGTTAAACTCCAAGAACTGGAAGAAAACCAGATTTCGGGGAAATGAAATCCACCAAGCTTTGCAAGAATCTTTGAGGTGGTGATCCACAGAGAAGGAGGCGGAGGAGGAACCATGGCCGATGGAAGCCGCGGAGGAGGAACCATGGCCGATGGAAGCCGAAGAGGACACAGTGTATCAAAGAACAATGGCTGTGATTTGGCGATCTCAACTCGAAGAACTCGAAAAACACGGCATATCAAAGAACAACAGCCTAAGTCTCCCCATTACCAACGTTCTCAACTCGAAGAACGCCTGCAAGGATCTTCACGCACTTGTGCGCCACAAGAGCACGAATCTGGCGCGCCACACTCAGGCTTTCGTTCACCATCCCAACCTTCCTCCTTGTTTTACCTCCCTTCTTCTCGCCTGTGGCCATTTTCTTCTGCAGTGCCTTCCTGCCACAGATCGAACCTGGCGTAGACCGTGTAGGATTCTTCTCACTGTAATCAAGAGACAGCGCCTTCTGGAAGCAGGGAGAGGAGGATGCCAGTTTGAGAATTGAGACTTGAAGCCGATTGTCGAGCCGTTGGTGAAGAGGTGGTAAGGAGTGCCGAAAGGGAGAGGTTCGGGGACCGGAGAATGGGGCAGAGGGGAGAGGAAGGTTGAAGGTGAGAGTGAGTGAGGAGAGATAAGTTAAGGCTAGGGTTAAGAAGTTTGGGTTGGGCTAATTTTTATGGGCTGGGTTGGGTGGAATAAAATTGAGTTAAGTTTAATTTTTATTAGGTTGGGTTTGAATTTAAAAATTGAATTAAATTTAAAATAAAATTATTTTTTTTATAAATTTTTCGCGGGGATGGGGATCGTCGCGGGGCCCCATGGGGCGGGGAAAATTCCCCGCAAAATTTCACGAGGGGAAAATGCCCCCCGTCCCCGCCCCGCGGGGAGGAATATTTTTCCCCGTCCCGTCCCCGTGACGGGGATCCTCGCGGGACCCATGAAAATCGAAGCAAATTGCCATCCCTAGTCCATGGGACACCATGCTTCGGCCAATCTTAAGAGCATATTTTACATTAATATGATACATTTAAAAAAATTAATTTTTTAAATGTTATCTTTAAAACTTAAACTCAAAATTTAGCTTACAAGATAACTTTTCTT